GATGTCAGTGAAAAGTCAATGGAATGTGATAAGCAGGATTCTGAGATGGTCCCGGAGCTCCCCACCTCCAAGTGATCACATCCACATCCACAGGGTGGCGCCCTCCACTGAGTATGGGCAGGACAAAGAAATACCTATGGATATTACTCTCATGACTAAACGTAACATGGAAAAGGTGAAAAGATAGTTAGTCTCATGATTACATTATGCTATTTAAGCCTGTCGTAGTAGACAGCAGAGATATTTTTCTGATATTCTTCTGATGCCTTTGAAGAAATAAGTTGTTGTGTTATGAGAAGACCATGTGGCTAGCATCTGAGTACAGATTTTAGGAGCTCAGAGAGATTTCTGACCAACATTCAGCAAGAAGAAGAACCTCATTCCTATAGTCATAGGAGCTGGATTTAGCAAAAAACCTGGACATGCTTGGAGATGAACCTAGAGCTCTAGATTAGAACACAGACCAGCCAACATCTTAATTTTCAACCTCAGAAGAGACCTTGAGCAGAGGACCTGATCTAACCTGTATCCTGAATTATGACCTATGGAAGCTATGAGATAATAAATTTGTGTTGATTTAAGCCATTAAGTTTGGTGTAATTTGTTACACAGCAATGGAAAACTAATGCAGAAGGACAATAGGTCTCCTGACCAGAATTGTACCATATGAATGTGCCATTCTGGAAATACACCCTGTAAGCTCAGTCAAGATTGCAACCCTGGCTGAACCGCATGAGAGATCTTAGGCTAGAACCAAGAACTTAAGCTAAGCTGCTTAAGAAGCAACTTAAACTAAGCTGCTATATTAATCATGCTTTTCATATTTTATGATATTTAGGCATCCTGAAGACCTTAGTTGGCTGCGGAGAGACTAATTCCTAGAGATCTTAAACACATGCCTGCAAATAAAAACACATTTCATATGCAAACCAAGCAACCCTGCGTCCACACCTCTACCTACCTCTCTGTTAACCATCTTCTTGACATAACTCTCAAACCCCAAACCAACATTTGTCTGCCCTAAATCAAGCCAGGGTTAGGTCCCATACATCTAGAGACTACCTCTGCAGCTCAGAGCCCACTGACTGTATTCTCCTAGTCAATTCTGAACTGTACGCCCTGCCTTTCCCACAGGAAACACAGTAAAGTCTTTGTGCTTGCTATACTTTCTCCTTGACCTGCTTCTGCCTCCTGATTAACTCTGGAGATTCTCCACATGGCCTTCTGTCCAACAGGACAGTCGATTTTTTGCAGTTCTATGAAAAGGTCATCAGCTCTATGTTTACACCCATCAAAATTTAATTTGATTATGGAATAGTATGCTTTCTGTTATTACTGTTTTAATACATATTGGGCTATTTAGTGTCTATACTTTTGATTCCCCTTACCCATCTTGTATCCCCTAGCACATGTACACATATTCCTAGGTGGTGCTAGTGGTAAAGAATATGCTTGCTAATGCAGGAGCTTGCTCATGTCAGGATCTTCCTGACATGAGTCTGATCCCTGGGTCAGGAAGATCCCCAGAGAAGGGAATGACAACCCACTCCAGTATCCTTGCCTGGAAAATCCCATGGACAGAGGAGCCTGGTGGGCTACATTCCATGGGGTCACAAAGAGTCGGACATGACTGAGCGACTGAGCACACACCCATCCCATATCCCCAAACACATGTACACATATTTAGAAACAAATACAATTAATAAATGCAAATGTTTTCAGATTTGAATTGTTAAGGAAAACCAGATACTTTAATAATCACAGTGCTGAAAGGACATTGCAAGGACACAGTGTAAGTTGAATTCCTATAGTTTTACACTATAGAAAAGTAAAGGCTACATGTTTAAAAGCTAATGAGTTGCCAATGATCCTTGTTTTGTAAGCTTATTGAGACATGTAGTGCATTGAAAGGAACAAAAGTTTGAAAACTATTTGTAAAAACTCAAACCAATTGCAATTAAAATTAATAGAGAACCTATGTTGCATTTTCTACTATACTCTTTACTAGAGCTTCTAAGTACACACAGTAAAATGAATATAAAATGATTTCATCAAATTTTCATCAAACAAGAAATGTTTGCCATAATTTCAGTTCATTTAAACAGCTGGTTAGTGTCTCTGTGTTGAGGAAATACCATCAGAACTCAGGAATGCAACACACTGGTGTTTATAAAATGGTTTTGAAAGATGGATCACATGTCTTAATATAGAAGCATACATAAAAACAATTGCACGGAGTTTAAATCAATAAGAAACAAGGGCAAAATATAAACAATAAATGTGGGGAGGATAAACTGCTGAGAGCCATCTCCAGAGGGTAATACAAATAAAACAACAGAAAATTTCCCTGAAAATTGACAGAATAAGGACAAAATACAGATTTTTCAAATTTGTAAAATGATTTGGTAAAAAAGAATTCAGTGGAATGTGTAGATACACCAACACAGGAAGAGTGTGACTATAAAGAAATGAGACCTATTTAATCAATCTCACATACAAATGCTTTTCCTTTCAGATGCCATAAATTGCAAACTGTCAATTTTCCTATGGACCATTATGGCATCTACCTATAAACAGGCATTTTTTTTATATCGACTTGGCTATAAAAGATGTTGACTTGCTCTACTTCCTGGTTTCAAATGGAACAATTATGTGTTTTCCAGTCAAGTTTAAAATAGGTCACACTGAAAATTTAATGAGATTTCTTCTCAAGAAGAACTTCTCCCTCAAGATATCAAGGCTAACTAAAGAGCAGGAACTATTCTTTATACCCAGACATTCTGAGCCTTGTATGGTTTTAAAAAACCTTTGAATTTTCTTTCCTTAGGCAAAGCTTTAACATTTCTGAAATTCAGTTAATTTGAATGTTGTAGCAACCTTTGAAATTTGACTTGTATCTAAAGAGAATCATGTGAGCCTCTATTTTGAGTCATTTACTTCTGAGTAAATGACAAGACAATATCCTTGGCAAACCTAACACAAGAAAGTCATATTCAACCACCTATGATTATATTCAGGAAGTCTGGTATTTAACCAGTTTGAAAACTAATGTCCACAATCAAACAATCAGATAATTTACCAAATTAACAATATCCTCTAAATTACCTCCTAAAGCAATTATAATATTTATTATCAATTAAATTTGCAGAAGAGATGTTCCTAGATATGCTCTTTGATGTTTATTCCAAAATCCCAGGTCATTTTCATTATTAAGTGAAATTTCTCATAATTTCTTAGTTCTTCTCAACTGTTTGGCTTGAGTGTAGGTACCAAATGTTTAACATTCCATTTATTACTGAATATTTTTAACCTTTATTGATTTTATTGCCTCAAGCCTTTCTGTATGTTTCTTTACTAAAGCTTAGATATTATATATTAAAATCAATGCAGGAGAGAACCAAGAAGATTTACTTCAGTGGGAAATCATCACTGAAAATCATTGACCATCCAATGATGGTATTTGCTATTATTTAGTTTGATCATTTTTCCCCTAAATTTTGCTTTGGAAAAATACTGGGTGTTTTAGAAGGGTGGAGCTATTATCAAGAAACTAGGAAGACACATATTCAGCAAGTGTCAGTAACCCAACAAGGGATGTATTTCTTCAGTGATACAGGAATCCTCAGGAAAGGTGCAAAGCAATCTGCAGGTGCATATGTGAAAACAAACAGGGAACACTTTCTTCTTTAAACAGGAAACACGTTGATAAGCTATTAAAAGGCTAGCAATTTTGGTTAAAGCTGTCAATCACATCAATTGGACATGCTCTGAAAATCAGTTCAAGCAGTAATGAGCAAAAGTCTATGAATTGCTTCCTGACACACATTAATAACCCCAAGTATTATACAAATAAACCAAAATCAATATTGGTGTAAGGCTTGGGGAGTATACATGATTGTTTGCTTCATGGCTGAAATCTTAGATCCATCATTGACTGCCATGTGGCCTTGATTGTTTGCTTCATGGCTGAAATCTTAGATCCATCATNTGTAAGGCTTGGGGAGTATACATGATTGTTTGCTTCATGGCTGAAATCTTAGATCCATCATTGACTGCCATGTGGCCTTGATTGTTTGCTTCATGGCTGAAATCTTAGATCCATCATTGACTGCCATGTGGCCTTATTCAACTGCTACACTTCTCTGTACTTCACTTTCCTCATCTATAAATTGGGTAATAACACTCAATTTGCTAAAAGGATTCAATGAGATAATGTGTTTTTCAGTGCTTTAGTGACTATGATCTAATACAATCTTCCCACAGATTCTTCTTAACATGACAAGCACACAGTTGCTGTAAAAACCTAAGTCATTTCATCTCACACCACTCAAGATTCCTCCATGTTTCCCCATTACTTTTAGAATGAAAGCTGAAGTCCTTAAAATAGCCCATAAGATCCTATACTATCTGTCCTCATTCGGTCTGCCATTTCTTTATCTTAATTTCCTACAACCCTCTTCTGGCTCAAACTACTCCAGACACTCTCTCTTCTCCTTGTATTTTCACAAACATTACAACCATGCTTCTGCCTCAGGACCCTTGCATCCACTCCCCCCATCCAAGGGATAATCTTCCTCCTAACAGCCATGTGGCTTACTTCTTCTCCTTCAACATTTGGCTCAGTGGTTACCTTCTTGATGCAGCTCCATTTAAAAGGACAAACTCATGAATATCCCTCTTGAGTTCCTTCATCCTGTTCTATTTGCTTCTGTAATACCTGATACTCTCTAATATGCTATATATATTGTTGAAGCACTGTGCTTATAATCTGGTCTTCCCTGATGGCTCAGTTGTTAAAGAATCCACTAATCTGTTGTATTTTCCCCCACTTGAATGTTACATCATGAAAGTAGATTTTTTTGGTTAACTCTGTTAACTAATTCATCTCTCACAATGCTAGAACAATGGTCAGCATAAAGTAAGTACTCCAAAAAATTGATGAATGAATAATGAATAAGTGGTAGTGAGTTTTTGTATTATTATTATTTGGCTTATTTTACCTTCTTATGACTTGGTCCACTGCCAAATCCTCTGCCATTTTTTTCCAGGCTGTGGCATATGGCAGGTTAATCACTCTCCCCAGGTTGGAGCAGGCTGGTCAGGAGTCCAGGCAGCCTCCAGTTACCCTGGAACATAATCGGTGCCCATTTATCTGCATTTACAAAATAGCTGCGCAGCAGTGTGCCTTTGAGTGAACATTCATGAGGCTTCCAAAGAACACTCCTTTCTTTGTCTCACTACAGGAAAAAAAAAAAAAATCTCATCAAAACTCGGTCTTGCCAAGTACCACAATCCCCCGCCTTTGCATGCCCTGCAATGTAAAGTCAGATCAAGATACACTTCAGTCATAGCTGACAGTGCCTAGGTCCCTGTGTCTCCTCCAGACACTGTGATCTTTGCCTGTTGAGCAGAGCTTCTGATGGACTAAGCCCAGTTCTTGTTAACTGCTAACAAGAACAATCACATCGTACTTGCAAAAAAAAAGAAAAAAAAGAAGAAAAAAAAATTATCCCAAATGTATCTGGACATGCAAAACATGTTGAAACATGGGGTAAACAGTGGAGACTTTAAAAATAGTTTCTCTGAAATAAAATTCTATAATTTCCCTCTCTCTCCTTCTCTTTCTCTATCCTATAAATACAAAGAGTATAAATTAGGTTGAGGGAGATGACAGATGGTCTCAGAGAGAAAATGTGAACAACGGTTGCTTTGTTTTCGTTTGGGCATACAAGATGAGAGACGCTCACACCACAGTATGAGACAGGCAGGTACGGTTGCTGAAGAATGATTTACAGTATTCTAATAAGCTTCTTTGGGATTAAAAATAGATGGCTGTGCATCGAATCACCATATCTCTGCTATTAAGTAATACTGAAGAATGAGCAAAAGCACCTTCCCCAGCAACTGGTTTGGAGAGCATACCTGCCTAAGTTATCACTTTACCATGTTTAAAATCACAGAAGAGAATACGACTGTGTGTGTATGAATAACAATATTTGAAATTAGTCCAATAGGATAATTTTTATAAGTAGGTGAGACAATAAGTCTAATATAGGTACAGTTCAGTGACAGACATGTCAAATCTGGGACTAACATACTGAACACAACACAATCATTATTGAAAACTTTTATCAAAAGTTTCCTCTATGGGTGACACTGGGTTAAACTTGGGGGGAAATAAGAAAACAGCCTTTGCCATTAAGGAAGTCACAGTTGAATGTGGGAGAAAGACAAAGATTGTGATGATTTACCATATCCAGTTGGTCATCGAGCAACATGAGCGTGAACGTACAGATCCACTTTTATGCCTATTTTTTATAAATAACAAATACTACAGTACTACACAATCTGTGGTTGGTTTAATCCCTCGATGCTGAACCCTGCATGCAGAGGAACTATGAATATGAAGGCCAACTATAAGCTATACTCTAATTTTCAACTGTGTGGAATATAGGTGCCTCAACCCTTTCTCTCTCCCCACCCCCTGCAGATGTCCAAGGGACAGCTGTAGTGTGGTTATTGTCAATGACAAGGTAAGTCTCTGAATGTTCAGAGGAACTAAAGAGACACTGGGGATGCCAATCTCAAGCAGGAAGGCAAGCAAGAGGTTGTTATTTCCAAATATTTCCAAGAGGATGTTACAGGTCAGCAAAATATTGAGAAATGCCTTAGCTGGAGTTAGGTAGATGGAGAAGGGATTCAATGGGAGTGAATATTATTAGCAAAAGGAGCTAGAGCAAAGAGATGAAGGCAGAAAGAGTAGGCTAGAAGGTACATAGATGGGACCAGAGATAGGCAGAAAATGGTGCAAGATTTTCCCTGCTGTTCTAAAGAGTTTGGAACCTTATGGAGAACTACTCAGAGAATTTACACAAGGGATGGATGCAACTATTACTGTTTCAGAAAACAATATCACTGACGATTCCAAAAATTCAAACTGGCTAGATGATGGTTTAATTCACTGAGAAAGAAAACTAAAAAGAGACTACTTCCCAGGGGATGAGGAAGTGGAGGCAAATTGATGCCAAATTCAGTTTGGGTTTATGTTGAGTTTAAGTACTCAGAGGACTGTTTAGTAGAGTTGGAAAGATAGAGTTTGAGCATAAAAGAGAGATTAAAATGTGAGAAAGAGTTGAGGTCATGAAGCACTTCATCACAGCATGTACAGTCTCGGCACATTATTTTCAGTCTTCTCCTACTAGAAGTGAAATCCATGAGGACAAGGACTTTGCTTATTTATTTCTGGATTCTCAGCATCTAGAACGATGCCTGAATCATGGTGGGTACTCAGGGAATCATTCTGAATTGTAGTTGAAGAAGATGGATCTGGCTAAGATCACATCTTATGTGGAGTGGAAATAAATGAGGTCACAGAATGGAGCTCTAAATCAAACACTGGGTGAGCACCAAGAGTTAGGAGATGATGTTATAAAGACCAATGAAAGNGGATCTGGCTAAGATCACATCTTATGTGGAGTGGAAATAAATGAGGTCACAGAATGGAGCTCTAAATCAAACACTGGGTGAGCACCAAGAGTTAGGAGATGATGTTATAAAGACCAATGAAAGAGATTGTGGAAAACTGTTTTAAATGTCATGCAGCATCAAGAAGGAATTTATTAATGACTTTCTAAAAAGGCCCAGTGTGGCGCTCATGCATAGATAGAGTCAGAGTGCCAAAGACTGAGGAATTAAAATGAGGTGAGAGTATCATTACTATTTTCAGACACATGATATGGAGTAGGGGTGAGCAATGACTGCTCAGATATCTTGGGTCAAGGAAGAATTTCATGTCTACCTATTTACATTTATATTGGGAGCGGTTTGGCTATGATTGGGAAGATCCTCTGGAGAAGGAAATGGCAACCCACTCCAGTATTCTTGCCTGGAGAATCCCATGGAGGGAGGAGCCTGGTAGGCTACAGTCCACGGGGTCGCAAAGAGTCAGACACGACTGAGGTACTTCACTACTTCACTAAGGGCTTAGTAGTGAAGAAGAGATTGAAGATAGGATGGAGTGGTCCCTAGAGGAAGAAGATCCTTAGGGGATTTAAGAACAGGTTTGTCTCATTGCTGGCTGTATCCTGAGTCCTCTGCAAGCACTGGCTACATAGGGAACACTCTATCAATCTTTATTAATTAAGTGGGATATACTACCGAATGAGATAATGATGAAAGAAGAGAATGTATGAGGGTCAGGATCAGGAAGTAGATAGAATAGTAGCTTTTGAATAAGTAGGGGCTCATCTGTCTCTTTGTCTTACTTCTTCCAGATGATCATGACTTGACCACTGCATACATTTGTTCTTTTTTTCTGGATATTAAGGGCTTCCCTGGTAACTCAGTTAGTAAAGAATCCACCTGCAGTGCAGGAGACCCCAGGTTGATTTCTGGGTCGGGAAGATCCCCTGGAGAAAGGCTAGGCTACCCACTCCAGTATTCCTGGGCTTCCCTGGTGGATCAACTGGTAAAGAATCTGCCTGCACTGCAAGAGACCTGGGTTCGATCCTTGGGTTGGGAAAATCTCCTCGAGAAGGGAACGGCTACCCACTATTCTGGCCAGAATACTGGCCACCCAGTATTCTGACCTAGACAATTCCATGGACTGTATAGTCCATGGGGTCACAAAGAGTCAGATACAACTGAATGACTTTCATATCATAAGGGGTTAATTGCTTTTTGAGCCTTGATTTCTCCTTCTTCTCCTAAACTCATGCCTTTGATGTTTTTTCTTTTCACAAAATCAGATATGATGTGGATACACATTTGTTTCTACTTTCCCTCTCCTCCAGTTTAGTTTCTTCAATTCCACTTGGCCCCAGCAGGTTTTGTATCACTCATTCTATTTTACTTACATGTGAATATCCTCAGCTCCAGCAAGACAAACTCACCCAGAGTTTGCTGGCTTCCCTATCCCATTTCTGAACATCGAATGGATTATCTGAGATTTCTAGGCAACCTTTCACGTTGTTTTGCAATCAGACCTGCTCCTTGTCTCTTGTAAACACATGTGAAAGCCTCACCCACCTTTATGAAGTTATCAAAGACTCCTCACACAACACTCATTCAATGACATAACTCATCTGCTGTTTTTACGAGTGGATTAACTTCAAATTGTTTTTCCATGGAGACGCACAGGACTATGACATTTATTAGCAGACATACTCTTCAAGGGCACACCTGGGAATACTGATCCTTTTTTTTGTACATGTGCTGTAACTTCTCCTTTTCTCTTCCACTCATAATGGATGTGAATAAGAACTATGCTAGGGAGATAACCCTAAATTATCTCTAATTAAGTAAGTTCATAATAAGCTTTAACACATTAGTAACAAATACTTTTGAAAATTCATACCAGCATCCCAGGCTCTGTGAGTAGATTGGAGCACAACTAAAGCAGACTTAAATATTTTAAAGGGTAGACAACTTTATTGGGCATGGCTGTAGACTATACCCTAAACCCTACCCAACACTCTTGCCTATTTCAATTTCTAGCAATGACAGAATTTTAAATTAATTCATCACTAATCTCATAAGTCAAAGCTTATGCCTTGTTTCTGACTGAAGTACAGTGTGCATAATGTTGATTTACATTACAGACATTGTACTAGTTATTTACTATTGTGTAATAAATTACACAAAGACATAAACATTTAAATCAATTTTTTTTCAATTGTCTTGCTCAGTTTCTATGTACCAGGAGGAATACATCCAGAAACAGCTCAGGGTTTTAGCTAAGATGAGTTTTAGTTCAGCTGTCAACTGGGGCTGGGGTCACCTAAAGGGTCAACAGGTACTGAAGGTGTGCTTCCAAGTGGCTCACTCACTCCCAGAACTGATAAATTGGTGCTTGTCAGTAGTAAGAGGTCTCAGTTCCTCACAAGGTGGACCTCCCCTATCAGATGGCTGGTGTTCCTAAGGTGAGTGGTACATGAGAGAAAGGCAGAAGCCTCAATTATTTTTTTTTGTTTTTTTAATGTTTAGCCTGAGGTCACATCTCATTGCTTCTGCAGTATCTTAATAGTTACCCAGGCTGGCCTCACTTGATGTGGAAAAGGGTTACACAAAGGCATCAATACCAGGACCTGAAAATTGTTGGAGGTCCTCTTGACCATCAGGAAAATTCAGAGTTTTATAGCATTGATATAAGAGAGAATATATATAGAGAGAGGTATCCCTATGTTTCAGTATTTTTAGACTAAGTGTTCATTTATCTACTTTTCTTACTGGGATTTCCCTCCTAATAAAGATGCCTTGCTTTTTAAACTGTTTCACTTTCATAATACTTACTTTAGTGCATTTACTATAATTAAACTCAGTAAAGACTTAGTGATAATAAGAAAACTATATGTACTGGAGTGGGTAGCCTATCCCTTTTCCAGGGGATCTTCTCAACCCAGAAATTGAACCAGGGTCTCCTTTCCTGAAGGCAGATTCTTTACCAGCTGAGCTACCAGGAAGCCATGTGTATGTATCTATATCTATATCTATCTATCTATCATCTATCTATCTATCTATCTATCTATCTATTTATCTATCTATATACATAGAGAGAGATACACTTGTTTTTTAAGTTTAATTTTAAGTATTTTAGAGAGAGCTCAAAGTCCAGGTTGGTTTTCATTTCAGCCAAGTCAGCAGGCTGTATTTACTCCAAATGCCCGTGCATGATTTCAAGGGCATAATGGATATTGCAGAGACTTTTAGTCCTCCTCCAAAACCCCTGCTGGGATGCGGGGAGCAGATGTGTAGTCCTGACACGAGGGACCGTGTGGCATTTCTGGATTAGATGTTCATTAAGGGAAGGTGGTGTAGATGAGCTGTATCCTCAGGAGTTACCACTAATGTTTTCCAGACCCACAGGAATCTCCTCCACTTGTTTTTTTCCATTAACCTTAAGAAACTTCAAAACAGTCCTGGGAAGTCTGAGATCAGTTCTGAATCTCTTCGATGGAGAGATTTTGGTCATCTAATTTTCTAAGTGACTTGAAGCAGAAGAATGGCCTCACAAAACCTTGTTCAAACAGCAAAACCTTGTTCAAACAGCAAAGCCTTGTCCTAACACCTTTCTACGTGTGTTCATGTGCCCTGAACACAGACAAGTAATCCAGAAGAATGGCTGCAAGCACACCAGAGCCGAGCTCAGCATTACCCTCACTCCCTTCCCACTCCAGGGACTTTGTACTTGAACAGGCCAGCAAGGACTTGGAGTCCAGGGGAAAGTGATTTAATGCATCCATGTCTCTGTTACCTCTTTGCCTTGTAAAAGTAGAAAGATGATGGCTCACATGTCTTACAGAACTCTGGGGACAAATGGCTAATAAAAATCCAAACAAAAGCACTCTAAATACAAAACAGTTCTATATGAAACATGCTGTGACATGATGATACAGTCTAAGGAGCTTAAATGCTTTCAAGACAATTAGTAGATTTTGGCAATGTCCTTGATATCATTAAGACCTGAGTAACCATGTTCTCAAGAAATATATTACATAGTTGACTCAGGTGGAAGACTCTTCCAACAATATCAGGATCCACCTTATCACTTTTTCTATGGCAGGAAAAATGTTGCTTGATTGGGTTGGGTTGCATGGCACCAATGCCAAGGAAACATGGTGAGTCAGGTAAAAAAAAAAGAAAAAACCCAGACCAGTGTTAAGTACACTGATAGACTTTAGTACTAATATCCCTGTACTCTGTCCACTTGCTTTCTTCTAAATTCTGTTTTGTGAATTTGGATTTACCTAGTAGAGAAGACTACTGGCTCTCAACTAGAATGTTTTCTAAAGTCTTCTGTATACAAGGTGACTCTTGGGTGACTTACTCATGCACCTTTATCTTCCAGGGAGATTTATTGAGTGAAGCTATCAAAACAATTTCTATTGAGGAAGTAGGATGGAAGTGGGAGTCTATAATCATATTTGATTTTGTAACCTTGTATCCTTTTCCTATAAATACAGTTTTTGACAAAACATTTTTCCCAAATTGAAATTTATTTCATTCCAAAAGGTTGGAAGAAGATTAGGAAAATGGGAAAGAATTGTGTTAAATCTTCTACAATAAAAGGAAATTGTTTGAGAAGTAGCCCAGTAACATAGAAGGACATCAGAACTGGAATCCCTATTTTATTAACTATTAACTGTGCAAAATGGACAAGTGGCTTATCATTTTATTTCCATCAGTAAGAAAAATGAGACATAAATAATAACACCTACCTGGGTACAAGGATTAAGTGAGATAACCTTGGGTCTCTGTTTTGAGCATTTTGAGGTCAGCAGTGGATTAGACCTCTTCAAAAAATACATGGGCCTACCTAAATGTGGTGTTGAAATTTCTCAGTTATATTGTGTGGTATTTATAGCTAGATAAGAATATATTTTAAATTGATCCCTGATCATATTTTCATTCTTTCAGACTTGTTCTACCTCATTGTCTCTGTGATAATAACTATAATTATACTCATTCCTCATTATAAAGCTGCTCCTTTTTCTTTCCTGACATTCTGCCCTCATTGACTAATAACAGTGAAACTATCCTCGAGGTTATTTATAAAATTCAGGAGAATGCAAAGGAATGTCATACGCAGTCTGCATTATATGCATTATTCTAGTTTTCTTTTCTACAAAATAAATCTCCAAAAATTAAGAGTTGTAACACAAGCCAAGTCCCTGTTTCTACATGTGTTCGCTTCTAAGGCTCAAGTCAAAACTCTCCTAATTTTGACCAATGCTTCATCATCATCTGTCTTTAAAACATCCAGGGAAATTTTACCATTCCTCTTCTCTCTTCCCTCCCCTTAATATTTTCAGCTCTTACTGGAATAGAGTTTTAATCCCTTCCCTGTCATTTTTTTCTCATGCCTGGAGTCCTTAGTAGAAGTTTTAGATGAAAAACATCCCATTCACAGTCTAACTTTGCATAGTTAAAATTACATTTTTCTTTAAAGTAAGAAGTGTTGAATATTATTCAAACTTTTAGGGCTTTGGGGAGTGAATTTTTAGAAAAAGCAATTTTTCATATTTGCTTATAGATAAATAACCATGTGTCAATAACAATCCTCTATATGTCATTTATCTTTTTCAAACGTATTGTCTGTGAAAGATGATTTTATGTTTCCTGACAGGTTTTCAAGTGAATGATTTTATAAGAATCCTCCTGTATTCCTCCATTATTTTACCAAATTGCATATCAATTTGGCATTTTCTCTCTTATAATCTTAACCTTTTCTTTATTTGAAGTAATTCTTCAGTTCAGGTAAAACTATTAACTTTGGTTACTTTAATTACTTCAAAAGGAAAGAAATTCTAATGCACCATAGTTTTTTCTATATCTGTTACAGACTTTGCCTGGCTAACATCACCTCCCCACTCTGACTCCACGGTCCCTAGCTTGTCGAATGTACTTATAGCATTCCTTCTTAATCTGTATTGTAATTTTCAGTCCATATTGTATTCTTTTTCTAATCTGTTTTCCATAGCAACCATGAATTCTTTGAGGAACTGAACTCTTATCTTATTCAACTCTATTTCTAGCACACAGCATTGTGAGTGGCTCTGTTTAGTGTAATGGTTTTCCATATTTGGCTAAAACCTGTCCCATGGAGCAGCCAGACCTTACCCTATGAACTCATCCATTCAAGTCAAACCACACATAAAGACATTATATTCCAAAACAGAAAAAGAGACACAGATGTACAGAACAGACTTTTGGACTCTGTGGGAGAAGGCGAGGGTGGGATGTTTCAAGAGAACAGCATCGAAGCATGTATATTATCTATAGTGAAACAGATCACCAGCTCAGGTTGGATGCATGAGACAAGTGCTCGGGCCTGATGCACTGGGAAGACTCATAGGGATTGGGTAGAGAGGGAGGTGGGAGGGAGGATCAGGATGGGAAATACATGTAAATCCATGGCTGATTCATGTCAATGTATGACAAAACCCACTACAATATTGTAAAGTAATTAGCCTCCAACTAATAAAAATAAATGA